ATCCAATGACGAAATAAATTAATGAATCCTGATTCCTTAGGTTGATTGCTTTTTAATTCTGATTTTTAAATCTTTTTTTCAAATCTATTTTTATTTAAATTTCAAATCAACAAAATCCCTTTTTCCCTTTACATCAATTTTACAAGAGCATTTTTTATTTCTAGCAGGTTCTTTGGGAGACGATCCGAGTTGTCCTATCACTACAAACCTAAAGCTCTGGAATTTTCGTGGGTTCGACAGCGCACGTCACACACCCTGAGTTCTGAAATTATCACAAATATCTTGAAAGTTGGTGAGATGTGTGTACGGATCTTCTGCAGGGAGTCCAATGAAGACTCCAGCCTCCCTGATCATATTAAAAATGATGAGTTTTAGCTCAAAGTTGGGAGCTACAGGGGGGAGGATTACTCCTCTTTCTGGTCTGTTCCTTGAAGGAGCAGCCAGAGCTCTGAAGTTCTGTTCAGGAGGAATCTCTTCATTGTTATTATTGTGATCAGCCATGTTTGTTTCAAAAATATTTTCCCTGAGATCTCTTCTTCTCCTGTGAAAAGTACGTTTTGGTTCAGGATCAAAGAAAAACTCAGGTATTTCAGTGGAGTGATGAGAATCTGTTTCATTCTCTTCACTCATAAACCAGAAAACATATACAGTATGAACAACATAGTGTGTAACAAAAATTAATGAAATATACACAGAGTATGAATTTAAAACAGTATTAAGGATATAATTTAGTGTAACTATTCCCGGCAACGGCGCCAAAAACTTGTTGGGTGTGAACTTGTTGGTTGCTTAAAATATTATTGTAAAGGACATTCCCTTACTTCAATTCATCAAGAGAAAACACATTTGTTCTCTTGACTTCAACCCAAGTGCGCAAGTGCACGCATCAAGTAATAAATAGGACTATTAGTGCCCAGATTATCGTTCCCACGAGGATAGTACTCTAAATAATACCTTAAACTATTTTAAAAAGAATAAAAATGAAAAGAAAAGTTATTAATTGATCTGTTTGGTCAAACGTTTCCTACTATCTTGACAACATTCCTCAAGAATAGTAACTTCAATCTGACAGCAAGCAGCTCCTCGCGTCGTTATATATGAAATCCTTCTTGATGAGAGAATGAACAAAAATATTCATTGGAGATTTGTTGATACAAGATTAAATAAAAAAATAACAATAACAATATTTAAGAGGCAATAATATGAAGAGATAAAATAGTTTTTAACACAAGGAACGAATCCATTGTTCCATTCTTAAATAGCTATATTCTCCACTCAGGACTTAACCTTTCTAAATTTGTTCAGGTCTTTTCACTGCCAACTCTGATTCCTCAGCTCATGGACTAAATGCCTCACAAGTTTCTATATTCCTATGGCTCCCTTAACTCCAACAGTTACTAAGTACAGGACCTTCAATGAACGAGGTGGTTCCTTATTCCTAAGGCAACCAGTAGTGTTGTTTTCACAACACTACCTTCCCCCTCTGATTAAGCTGTCTGAAATCCCTTTCTTATGGAAGTTCATTTCTCAGTATGCGTTTAATTTCCATTGATACGCAATGAATATAGCACACTTAATCAGAGAAATACAAAATCTCAGTACAAGAGTTTTGAAAATAGTTCTTTAAGAACTTCACATTTTTTCCGTTCCACAAATAACAGAGGTGGCTACCATCAGAATAATAATAGAGGTAGGGGGTTGCAGGTAAGGCAGCCTCCGGGTCAATTCAAGAGAGGTGGTGGTCAGAGGAGTAGGTTCAATGATAGAAATTCTACTCCTCACTGTGATAAATGTAAGAGGTATCATCGGGGTCCTTGTACTGCGACCCTGAATTCTTGTTTCAAGTGCGAAATTTTATTTATGTCTGCATATTTAGGATTGGGGTTTGGTGGCAATACCCCTTAAATTTTTTTTTAAAGAAAGTTTAAAATGTATTAAAAAATAAAAGAATATAAACAAAAAAAGAAAAGAAAACTTGAACTTACTACAAAAATAAAGTACTTTTTGGGTCCTCAACAAAAATTACGGGACCCAATTTAATCCCTTAGAAAAAAATTGACTCGTGATCCCTCTGAATTTCAAAATAGATCCATGTTAGTCTTTTTGAGGAACTAATGTAGGTCTTCTTTGAATTTCAAAGGAACCACGATTTCGACTAACCGAATTTATTTTGGAATTTAGAGGGACCAAGAGTCGACTTTTTTTTCCTAAGAGATTAAATTGGGTCCTGTAATTTTAATTTTTGTTAAGGACTCAATATATATATATATATATATATATATATATATATATATATATATATATTTCCAAAAATTTGTGTATATACTTACACACACTTACACCAAAATAGGTCCGCCGCATATAACCTCATCTAAATTACCTAAATTTATCACTGCTCGATCAATCCTAAATTCCTAATGCTTTATGGTACTATTTCTTTGACCACTTTGAATCACAAGTTGTGTGTATTAAGAATCTCATATGAAAATATTTACATTTGCAGCACGTATGTTGATGGAGGAGCGAAGAAAAGTATGACTGTTCCTAGTTTTTCACTTATCTGAATATCTCACCCTTTATGTTGATATTTTCAGGATCAAGCGGTGTAGCGCCGATTCCCGAGGATGGTACTTCAAGAAAATATTAAAAAATTACAATAATTGTAAAATGGGTTATGTTTATCTCATTTTACATGAGATAAACATCTCTCCTACACACACAAAAAGGGTTTGGGTCCCACCACTTTTTTTTTCTCTCTCCTCTTACATGTGGGTCCCACTTATACTTTTATTTCTACAACATGAGGTAATTCTTTTCCTACAACATAAGAAAAATATATCCCTTGCAAAATTGTAGAAAACATTAAATGCTATAGTTCAATCACATTAAAAAATTACAATAATTGTAAAATTGAAGAAAACATTAAATGCTATGAAGAGTATTTTAAAATAATTTAATGCAGGATAAATTAAAGTCTTATTACTAGTATTTTTTAACCAAGAGTAAAAGGTTTTATGATGGATTTAAAAAAAAATACATTTAATACTTTATGTTAAAAAGTTACTTAATTTTTACCAAAAAAAATTTATTTAATGAATAACTTTGTCATTTACTTGAATTGAAAAACATTAGATACTTTGATAACTTATGAAGTATTAAATGCTTCTACTTTTATTTATTGAAGCTTTTAGTTTTATTCACGAATCAAAACACTCTTGGTAATAAATGCCCAATATTTATATGTATTTGGAGTTTTTCAATTTAATGTGGTGACCATAATTAATTAATATATGTATTTTAAAATATAATTAATTGTTGACATTGACTATGGGTATGTGTACGAGATTTAAGGACCATTAATACTAAAGTTATTTAAAAATTTAATAACTTCAAATTTATTTGAAAAAGAGAAAAACAAGAATATTTGAGATAAAACAAATGGTATTTTTTTACAAATTATTTTAATAGTTTTATATATTAAATTCATAAGTTTTATTAAATTATTAATCATAAATTATCAATAACAATGAAAAATTACCCAAATTTTTTTAGTACAGTGAATTAATTTATATAAATTTTATTGAATTCAAATTTGATTGACTTGCTATTAGTAATTACTTTTTTTCGAATATATATTTTGAAATATATATATATATATATATATATATATATATAGGCTTTAATATTTTTAAAGTGAATGTAGATAAGTTATCTACATTTGCTCTCAAAACGACGTCGTTTTGGGTTGAAAATTTAAAAAATTATAATGAAAAAGACTATCATAACCTTGAAATAAATTATAATTACAAAAATTCTTGATTTCCGTCTCAAAACGACATCGTTTTGGGCTCAATGTAGATAAGTTATCTACATTGACTGTAGAAAAAGCGAACCCATATATGTATATTTAAAAAATATTTCTCAAGCAGCTTGAGATATATTTATGTTCGTCCATCCCAACACTATATTATTTTTTTTTGTATAACCAAAATTATATTATTTATTTTCTTATATTAATTGATTCATCTTTTGATTGTTATGATTTCTTTTTTCTTTCTCTTCCTTTATCACCATTGATCTATCTTTATACGGTTATGATTTAGTAGCTGAAGATAAAGTTATCTCAAGCTGCTTGAGAAATGATAAGCCATATATATATAGGGTCATGATCATTTTACACCGATGTAACTTTCACTCTCAATATTTACCGTTGATCCTATTTATATATAATGGTTATGATTTACTAGATATTTAAACCGTTAGATGAAAACATGTGTGTGTGTGTGTGTGAACAAAATCATGATACATTAATGTAAGTTACACTTTCATTCTTGGTTATTGATCCCAATAATATGTATCAAGTCTAATTTATAAATTATGTGAGTCATTAGATACAAGTGAATAAATGATTAAGAATAAATGTAAGATCGGTGTAGGTTGAGCTCCACACGCACAAATATGTGTGATTTTCGTCCATATAACAAGGGTAGTTTATTGAATTTTATCAATTAATTAATTATTAATTTCAAATAAATTATAAATATTGGATGAATGGAAATCAATGGCTAAGATGAGGAGTAAGACTTCTTACTCTTATAATGAAGTCAAAGAATCCTCCCTATATATATCATAAAGTTATTTAATTAATTTTCAACTCTTTATTTTAGTGGTGAATTGCTAAACTTCCCAAATTTTAAAAGGTATAATTACTCTCAATTAAAAAAATTGTGTCTTCCACACCATTGTTTCTTATGAAACGGTTACAATGAGAGCGATTTCTCACATTTATAAAAATGGGAAAATTTTGGAAGGTACTCTCATAGTAATATATTTAACAATTAAAAAATGAATTAAAATTTAATAGATTGATGTAATACATTTAAAATCTTGTCCTTAAAAAATACAAAAAAAATCTAATATAAATATCCCTTTAGTGTATGTTTGTTGTGCCACATTATAATATCTAAATGGTCTTCTTTGTTCTCTTCTTTTGCTCTAACATGGATACTTATGTATTGCTGAACTTCCTTCTAAATGACCCTGATGCTGCTGTTCCTTCTCCTTGGCAACGAATGCTTGATCTTCCGGTAACTCTGCCAATATCTATAACATATAATAGTTATGAAATTTATTTATTTATTGGGTTCCTTTTTTCTACTGTCAACGTAGATAAGTTCAAAATGACATTGTTTTGAGACGAAAATTAAAGTATTTTTGTAATTATAATTTATTTCAAGGTTATAATAGTCTTTTTTATTATAATTTTTTAATTTTTCAACTCAAAATGACATCGTTTTGGGAGTGAATGTAGATAACTTATCTACATTCACTGCATAAACATTAAAACCTTATTTATTTAGTTGAAATAGAACTAATTAATGTATTTGTTATTTCTTTTCTTGGGGTTGGCTTGATCGCAGACTGGGCTAATTTACTATGTTCACACTGAGACTGATTTGAAAATATTCGACTTTAGGCCTTTGGTCAATTTCGGAGGAGGCGTTTTATTGGAAAACTCTTATTGGTCTGAATTCATTAATGAGCCAAGGCACCACCAAATGGCAAGGGATCTTCAAAATTTGCAGGACCATCCGAGACTTTTTCTCTTTCGTGCTAGCTGCATAAACAACACTCTTTATGGCATTGTTACAGAACCTGTGATCCAATGCCCATTTTGTAGTTATATTGTTAGTTCACTTCCATGACTTTATCATCAATTTAATGCAGTAGAATTAATGGAAGTTTGTTTTAGTGTCATCATCGTTTTCTGTATCTAAATAATATGAATTTATTTTACCGAAATTGATAATTTTTTCATAGCTTCTATGAACAAATATTTTATTTATTTGTTGTGTGTTTCTTTCATCGTTTAGTAGAGTCGACTCTAAACGATTACCAAAAAAAAAAGAAAAAGAGTCGGCTCTAAAAAAGTAAAGTAATATTTTTATTTTTATTTTCAAAAGTAAAATTAATTGCAAAGTTATAATTGAAACATTGCATCTTCACAACAACCAAGTGCATTTAAAAAAAAAATGAACTTTCTAATGTGTTTGCCTAAAGATTAAGTCGGTTCAGTGTTTAAAAACTCGGCTTGACTATTGACTCAGTTGAGGTCAGGGGCCATGAGTTCAACTAGGGAGTCGTGAGTCATTTCATTGATCCGGTTTTATACATTAAAAAAATTAAATATATATCTTATATAAAAAATTCAAAAAAATCAAACCACCAATCATCAAAGATTCAAAATATACGTAACATAATTCAACCAATTACATCACAAGTCAATATTATATAAAATAATCAAACTATCAAAGTATAATTCACATATTCCAATGGAGTTAATAAAAGTTATATCATCAAACTCAGGTCCTAATTGTCCTTCTCACGCACCTACAACAGCATGTGAAATGAGATCTCTTATCTAAGAGAGAACGATAGAGGTGAGGCGGCGGCGCGACAAATCAACGGTAGGAAGAGAAGAACCAGCACGGAGGAGGAGAGAGAGAGAGAGAGAAGACCGAAGAGGATAGGAGGAACCACCACTAAAATTTAGTTCACCCTTTAATTACTATTTACATATAGAAAAGAAACAATTCATGTTACGAATAAAATTTCATCTTTCTGCTTGGTAGAGGCTAGAGTGGTTGTCAGTTCTTGGCAACAAATGACTTGACTGTGTTCTGTCTTTCACTTTTACTAAGAATTTTACAACTAAAATATTGAACTCACAAGTAACTAATGATGATCACAAGTTCATGAGGAATGTTAGCAATACTCTTTGAAATTTTCTTTTCAGCACTCTATTATCATGTCAACTTCTATGTTAGCCCTACTAAATAACCTGACCCCACTCTTTATTAGTGGGGCCTGCTTAGAATTTTAACGAACAATAAAAAGATTATTGAAAAGATAATGTAAAAAAGTGTGTTGTTAGCATTTCTCAAAGAATCATAGGCCTAAAAAGATTAGTACAAATGATGCTTTGGTGGTTTTGTCAGTCTCAGCCAGGTCAGTATTAGATAGAGATATAAAAACCAAATAAGTAAACATTCTTCTAGGTTATTAACATGAGAAGTTGATATCATAATCAATGCATGATAAAAATTCTATAATATTGATTAGAACTGATATAATGCCTAAAAGGAAACTTCAAAAAGAGCCAAGGAACCATTATAGAGATGTATGGGTTAGAATCCTGACCTTCTGATTGCACACCAACAAAGGAAAACAATGTAAGAAGCCATAATTCCTGAGGATAAAAGGCCTCTATTAACCTGTAATAATTAAGCATTTTAAGTGACAAAACATAGATTTTAATGGATTTCATGCAAATTAAAATATTAGGATAAATTCATGATAAAATAAAATGTACTTGTATGGCAAAAAAGAAACTTAGGGTAAAGTTTAAGAGATGAAAAGTGTGTTTTTTTCCCTTTAAGTAATCAAAATAGAGTGTACCTTTGAATTTAAGGATATAGTCATCATAACAGCAAGCAGAATTGCTGTCCATGTGACGAAAAATATATTGAGAGAACATGAAGATCTTGAGGCATATGATGTGTACAAATAGACAATTCCGCATATAGAGAGGCAACATAAAACAACGTTGACATAAAAAGTCCAAAGGAGAACCTGTTCCAACTCAATAAGATGCTAATGTATCAAAATACAGACATTGCTATTAAAGCTAATGGCATAAAGAAATGGTGTTGATGTTAAATAATGTCAAACACACTATTATGGGTTATCTATGCTTTGAAGTTATATTCCATCAAGAAAGTAAACTGTTAGAGTGGCCTAGATTTTATGATTCATAAACTTTAAATTACTCATTCTTAATTTAGGAGCATAGGTTGTTAAGTAATTTGGCCTAGATTTTATGATTTTTATTTATTTTTTGCCAAGTTAAGTAGGATAACAACACAGCATCTGAATGTCATAGTAAAATAACACACTTCATATCGGATTTGGTTGGTGTAGACATAGTAAGAAAAATCAGTATAATCAATTTTCAAGTACAATCTAACACTTTATATTATATAGTACGAAGAAGAGAGAAGTCTATTGAGAGTCATGGAAGAAGGGAGCAAGCTATAACATTTATGCAATTTTCTAAGGGAAAAAATAAAACCAGAAGGAAGGTAAGTGATAATAAAAAGATTGGAGGGGTAAGTGATTGTAGAGTAAACTACATGGAAGGTATTTGAACCTTATCCTACTTAAAATATATTTTCAATCAGCATTTTCGTACTTTAATACTTTCAAATAGTGACAGTGCCTCTAACTACTTCTATTTCTACCACTCCATTATGGATCATCTCATCTCAGCCACCAAGGTATAATTTCATTTCCCCTATACATATATTCAGTGGGTATGAACCAATGACATAGTCCAATTCCAAGCTAAACTAAACAAGTTCTCCCTTTTTCTTTTGCAACATAAAGTTAATATTAAAATCCAAGTAGCATAGCCTAAATTCAAGTTTGTCTTTTCAGATTAATTTTATCCTATTGAGTTTGCTTTTCTAATTTCTGTACAGTATATAGTCATACCATTTTCAGATAATTGACTAAGTTAAGTTCTTTATGAAATATATATTAGTAAAACAATTGATATGCAGCTGCCACATGGAAAAAATAATGTTGACCTTGGTGGATTACTTTCATGTCACATAAAAATCTTGAACCATAGATACTGAATTTTTAAAGCATATTTCTATACTTATGAGAGAAGTTACTTATAAAACATTATTACATAGCAGAATTGGTGCATAAGACTCTTTGAATAAAGCCTGGAAATATTATCTATAGCTTTCATGTCCTAAGATTAATAATATGCTTTTCAAATGGTACTTGAACAAGCTAACCAAGTTGAGAGGAAGTTTGAAATACTAATTTTACACTACATATGTAAGTACACAGTTCAAGACTTGATAGTTGATACCATGTGTAGAAATACTTGAAAGAAAAGGGTATTTGAAATATTATTGAATTGCGTAAATAATCTGTACAAAGGGGTTTCTATTTATAGAGAATGAAAACCCTAATATTTGACCTAATACTTGACCTAATGGGATTGGCCCAATACAACAAATAATAATAATAAAATAACCAATATTTACAACACTCCCCCTCATGCTGAGGAATAGATATTTATCATTCCCAGCTTGCTAGTAAGTTCTTGAAATCTGTCTGGAGGAAGTCCCTTTGTTAATAGATCAGCCAATTGACGCCCAGTGGGAATATATGGAGTGGTAATCAACCCGCTATCAAGTTTCTCTTTGATGAAATGGCGTTCGACCTCAATATGTTTAGTCCGATCATGTTGAACCGGATTATGAGCTATACAAATAGCGGACTTATTATCACATAGCAGCTTCATAGGTCCCTCACATTTTATTTTGAGATCATCAAGTACAATTTTTAGCCACAGTAACTCACAAATTCCTTGAGCCATAGCTCGAAATTCAGCTTCTGCACTTGATCTGGCAACTGGCAACCACATCTTGTTTCTTACTTCTCCATGTCACTAAGTTACCACAGAGAAACATGCAATAACCAGTGGTAGATCGACGGTCAGTCACGGATCCAGTATAAACATGCATATGGTTGGGTTTTGTTCACTTTATTGATTCCTTATTCACATAGTGGTGGAAAACCATTGCTCTCAGCACTTAGCTCCTTAGTTTTCATTATTTTTTGCTTCTGTGTGGTGCGTCCTATCCTTCCTCCTTTCATTGAACGCAAAACAGACTCTTATTCATGGGACAGGCCACAGTTCATGGGTGTGTTGATGGGAACTTTTGTTTGTGCATTTATCACAGATTTTCTTGGCACACACCACATTGTTGGGGCTTTTATTTATGGACTAATCTTACCTCATGGGAGGTTTGCTGAGTTGGTGATGGAAATGACAGATGATTTTGTTACTGGGGTTCTATGCCCTATCTACTTTGCTGGTTTTGGCTTAAAAATCAACTATTTAATGATTGTGACCCAGCCAAAATGGCATTTGATGTTGCTCATTATGCTGCTGTTATCCATCCCTAAAGTTCTAAGCTCCTTAATTACAACTTTCTTCTTTGGTATGTCTGCTCGAGATGGTATAGGCATTGGATTGCTTCTCAACACTAAGGGCATCATGGCATTGATCCTGCTAAGCGTTGCCTGGGACAAAAAAGTAAGTAATAATCAATGGTTACATTAATGGTTTTATACTTCTCTAACATATACAAATAAGGATAAGACTGCATATAAGTATTTTCTTCACCTCATCCTCATTAAGTTGAGGTTCAACGGGGAGTGATTTTTTTATTTCATACTCCTTTTTCAAGTTCATTAGCTCTTAGTTACAGCTAATTCAAATGTGTGTTTATTTTTTTTTAACAGATTTTGAACTTATATGATTTCACAATCATGATGCTTGGTATTATAATAATGACTGTGCTGGTATCTCCCTTGATCAATGCTACATACAAGCCAAAATTTCGATTTAAGCAATCACAGCTAAGAACTGTACAGAAGTTAAGGAGTGATGTAGTGCTTAGAGTTGTTGCTTGTGTCCACAATGCTTGCCAAGCCACCGCAATGACACATGTCCTTGAAACAGTAAATGCCACAAGAATCACTGCTCTTCTTGTAGCCCAAATGGAACATTCAAATTCAAATGCACATGGTGGAGAACAAAAACTCTCTGAATCACAAGCAGAGTTTGAGAGCATAACCAATACATTTGACGAATTTGTAGAAGGGTACAATGCTGTTAGATTTGAGACATCAAGTGTTGTGTCAACTTATGAAACTATCCATGAAGATATATACAACGTAGCAGAAGAGAAATTAAGGAAGAAGAATAATTTTTACCATTTACGTTCTACTATCCCCTTGTATTTCTCCATAAAAACTCAAATTTGACATGATTGAGCTGCTCCCATCCCACCGGTTCCTATGGGTTTATGGAATTTTATCACGTGTACTCCATTTGAGATTGAAAAGAGTGCTAGTACAGAGTACACGTAGATATTTTTGTTTTTTTGTCGGAATTTGACTTTTGATAAATATGACTTTTTAGCCTTATTTCATTGTTTTGGTGGCTTTGTCTGCGTTACCCCAAGAAACGATAATATAGTTGAGTCCCAAGTATTGTTCAATAATCCTAATTCTCCAAAATCATCCTCCTAATAATACGATAAAATAACTCATCCCTAGAAGCATTGTGTGCGTTTTCTGTCAAAATAAGAACTATTAAAGCCTGATTAAGATCACTAAATAATGTTGCCATTTGCATTTCAATTGGAGAAATTCACTGCAAACACACACACAGCGAATTTTTATTAAGTACAAAGGTAAATAGTCTTGGGAACATTTGTAAAAACAACATTGATATGGTGCACAGTGGATAAATTTTTCATTACTAAGTCCATGAATAATGAAAATTAACTCCAATGACAGCTCAAACACCACAGAAAGTGTGCAGAGGAGTCTGATCTCTCATGCCTTTTTCAGTGGAAGTATAATTGAAGAAGTCAATAGGATCAAAAGGCTTGAAGAGCAGAGGGTGTTCTTCTGTCAACCAGCTCCTCTGGGGCTTTTACAAGGTTCCCTCCTTTGGGAGCAGAGAACAGCCCTACGGAGTACCTTGCCTCATCCCCACTCATCACCACTCTGTGAAACGGCTGAGGCACCCTGCCGTTTGACCATGCCTGCAGAAGTCATATCACAACCTCATAAATGATAAATCTTAAACATCATTCAATAATTATAATTATAAAAGTTATAATAATGTTGAAATAAATTAAAATTACAAAAGTACCATAATTTTTGCCTTAAAACAACGTCGTATTAAACTTACTTCAAGATACACTTTATCCGCAGTCATTGCAGAAAAAGCGAACCCTTTAACAATAGAATAATATTTCTGCAGTTACTACAGATAAATTATATGTATTTACTCTCAAAACGATATCGTTTTGGGATAGAAAAATTAAATAATTATAATTATAAAGACTATAATAATCCTGAAATAAATCAAAATTATAAAACCACCATGATTTTCGTCCCAAAACAACGTTGCTGTACCCTACTGCAGATAACTTATCTGCAGTAACTGCAAAAAAACGAACCTTTTTAACAATTAGTATGTTCTATGGTTTTTTTAATAATGACAAGTGGTGAAAAGAATTTACATGGAGTGAGTCACCAATCACAATAACGAAACTGTTCGAGGAAGGCTTGCAGCTTATCCATTTTCCATCTTTGGTCATAACCTCTAAACCCTCCACTTCATTTTGGTACAATATGGTCATTATACTCTTGTCTGTGTGCTGGCTGAGTCCTACCTCTGTGTAGACAAATGTGA